TGTTATATCTTCTATCTATATTTTATCTGGTGCCTTGTGTTGACTGTGAAGCACTTTGTGACTATTGTCTGTGAAAGGTGCTATATAAATAAACCAGCTTGCTTGCTAGTAAATGGCCAGCGGCAGAATAAAGGTAATAGAGAAGCTGCACCAGAAAGGTTTGACATGTTGTTATTATAAATGTGTTACGAGCAGCTTTCAGGCAGTGTTACATGCATGTGCGAAAAAAAGTGAAAGCCAACATGTTGCAACACTTTTTTTACACTGTTTGCAGAATCTGACGTTGGGTGAGAATGGATGTGAGAAATCCAGCTTTCATCTGCTCTGAGCCTTTAGGCGTGAACTGTAGTTGTAATCGTAATTTCTGTGGAGGTTTATTATCATTGTTTTCATCAATGATGGAGAGAGAGTCATTAACTCTGAAGGTATTTGAAGTCAGAAGAATTCATCCTCTGAGGACCATGAATGTCTATCAAATTTCATGGTGATCAATCCAGGTGTTGGAATAGTTTTAATCTGGAAAACCAGCATCTATGAGTAAGTTAATTGGTTTTTTTTCTGTCCTGCAGAGCAAAGCCTGGAGGTGTAAACCCTGGCGGCAGTGGTTCTCAGAAAACGGGGGCTGCTCCTGAACCAGAGGACCTAATCGCCCCTGGTACACCCATTCAGTTTGACATCATGCTGCCGGCCTCTGAGTTTCAAGACCAGAACAGAGCCGGAGGGAGGTGAGTAAGAGACTGGGGCAGGAGGTTAGTGTGGGTGTAAGTTAGTGAGAATCAGGGACGAGGCACTGGTGAGTGATGACGCAAATTTCCTGAAATTTGGCCTCATAGTGGTGATTAGGTTATTTCCAGGATGCTGAATTATTCGTAATGACTCTAATTGTTGTTTCCGGTGTTTGTGCTCCCTTCCTGACAGACGCACAAACCCGTTTGGAGAAACGGACGATGACTGTTCAACAGAAAGTGACGGTAAGCCTTTTCCTCATCCACGTGCCACGTAATGGTTTGACTTTAGCATAACCTCTGTTGTGTTTGTTGGTGTAGTCTGCTTCTTGAGTGTTCACATATCTTCGTTTACTGTCCTTGTGTGTTTAAGCTGCTGACGTGTTTATGTGTGTGGGTGACGTTTGTATGTTTCTGCAGACTCCCTCCTGCAACAGGTATTTGCTGTGCGCTTCCTGGGCTCCATGGCCGTTCGTTGTGGCGACAATCAGGAGGTGATCTATGAGGCCATGAGGCAGGTGCTGGCTGCCCGAGCCATACACAACATTTTCAGGACCACAGAGTCGCACCTGATGGTCACCAGCAGCAGCATCAGGTAAACATTATCACACAGGTTAAAGTGTTGTATGAAAACCACCTCTGAGGGCAGACAAAGGCCTCGTTCAGACCTGGTGTTAGCATCCGTCGTGAGAGATGAGAGCACAAGTGGACAGCGTTAAGTTAATTAAAATGCGTCCTGAAGGAGTTTCCTGTGACCACTTTTGATCAGATTTCACTTCCTCACTCTATATGTAAATCAGCACTAATGTGTTTTTAGCCCTACTATGAAATAAGATTTTAACCATTTGAGAAAAATGAAATCATTACAGTAGTCAGTGTTGATATTGTGCAGGTGGCTACCAACAAATCAACGTATGGTCACTGAGAAGCATAGAAATAGACTTGATTCATTTTGGTTAAACCTTTATAATTACATTTACTACATTGAAACTTTGTCACTTGTTAAATGCTGTAATCCTTGAGCCTTCCAAACCATTCAGTGTCAAAAAATAACTGTATAACAGTATTATACAGATGTAATGATATTGTGAAAGCCTGACCTATAAGGGGACTTTTCTCCATCCAGCTGATGCTAAATATAAATTTTGAAGACAACACTGAGGAGGGACCATAGAGCAAAAACCCTCTGAAGCCTCATCAAAGCATAAACATCTGTAACGAAGAACACTTGAGCGCCACTCGGGTTATCCAACAACAACACTATGTTGAGTTCTTGTATAACCCATGACTGATTCACCCCCCCCCCCCGGAATAAGTTTTTCCTTGTGTAACAAATATCCTCAGACAAGAAGAGACACACTCCACTAGATACTAAAGGACGAGTTATGTTGTTGAGATTGACCCAGAAAACCGCTCTTGGTCAAAGCTATCAAAAAGAAACGAGCATAGAAAATATCACTGTAGTATTTCAATATTTCTCTGAGTCTCTATTTTGTCTTCATAACAGGTTGATTGACCCTCAGACTCAAGTCACAAGAATAAGTGTAAGTATCACAAAAGAACAAATCGGCTTTAACTAAACTTATTATAGAGAGTTTAACAGACTCAGTCATGTTCACTGTAACTCAATATTTGTTTTAATCTTTATAACCCCTCTCTTCTCACTGAACACTCTGCACATCTCAGTTCCAGCTCGGAGAGGTGTGCCAGTTTGCAGCCCACCAGGAGAACGGGAGGCTGATGGGATTTGTGGTCGAGGGCAGAGACTGGAGTGACGGAGATGAGGAGGGAGAGCCCTCGTTCAGCGCCTTCGTGTTTGAGAGCAACACAGAGGGCGAAAAGGTTGACACACGCTTTGTTAAAAAGGGCAGATGTGTGAAGTGTTGCACAAATGTTAACCTTTTTGTCTTCATTCACAGATATGTTACACCATCAGCTTGGCGAAGGACATAACAGAAGCCAAGAAGGTAACGCCATCATGACATTTTATACAGATAAGGTTGATTTTGAAAACCATAAACAAGAGGACAAAGAATGACACGATAAAGTAAACTACCCATTTCATTGTTAATTGATTCATTTTCTGTTGAGCCTTGTTCACAATACAGGACTTTTCCTTTTCCTGGGATATAAAAACATCGATTAACATCGGTAATAGCAAATTAGAGAATCATTACCATGACTGTTTCTTTACAACTGTGATGTGACGTCCATTGAAGAGTTTCACCTCTTCAGTTGCCCCCAAACTTTAAAGTGGGCTCTTTGTCAATTAATTAATATTCGCCATGTATTTAAGTTTTTAGAATAAACTTAAAACTCATCTATTCCAACTTTCACTAAAAACATTTCCTACAGTTGAGTCTAGGGAAAGAGGTCTCGTATAGTATACCACTACATTAGATTTTTTCTTTTTGTGTGATTTATTTTCTCTTTCGTCTTTAGTGAAGCACATTTTATTGCACCTTTAGAACAAAATATGTTTTTAGGTTTTGTATTTGTTTAACACAGCACTTTGTTTGTGGTCCAATTATCACAAAATGATGAGTGAAACCAAAAAGATAATTATGAACACAACCACTAGAGGGCAGCAGTCAACACTCCCCCCCCCCCCCAATAAAGAAAGGTGACAAAGTAGGTAGATTTAAAGATATTGCAGCAGGTTGAGGAATTTAAACACTCACGTGTAAAATGTTATCACGCAGCAATTCAGTGCTTATTTTCTTTACTTCCTCCCAGGACCCCGAGGCTCTGGCGGAGCTGATGAAGAACATGCCGCTGACCAACGATGGCAAGTTCCTTCTGCTGGAGCCTGAGCCGGACGACATGACCAACGGAGCCGGACAAGAAGACCTGGAGTCTGAGGCCTAGTCAAAAATAAGACAGGGCCTCACAGGCTTATTTTAACCCAGGAGAGAGAAGACTTTCCCTGGAGGAACATTTCATCATGACCCCGCCCCCCTAACTGCTACTGTAACACCCATATTAGAAAGTGTAGTTCACCTCCGCTGACACTGTGTCACTAGACCTTCAGCTGTTTGCTGTGATAACAGAAGAAGAAGACAGGGTGGGTAACGTGCACCTGAGCACATATCTCATGGTTCCATCTGCTTTTCTACGGTCAAACTGTAGCATGGGTGTCTGGTTTTTGGTTTTTATTGTCTTTACACCACTGTGGGTGTTACATCAAAAAGGGACTAAATATAGGTACTGGTTGTGATTCATCTTCTAATTCTTCTGCCATCGAACACAAGGTGGTGGATCATTCCCTTCAGTTTAGGTTTACATGTATTTTAGGTTTACAGAGTTTATTTCTTTACTTTGACTCTTGTGTTAACGTTTATGTAAGACTTTCATTCAACTACTTCTTATTAGTCCCGTACAAGAAAACATCATTGCACTTTCAAGGTTTCTATCTGTTTAATACTGACACTAAACGGCTACAGCATGCACTAATTGAGAAATGTGATCGATCTAAGACAAAGACAGTTTATCATCACGTCAGTTTATTTTGTAATTATTGTAACTCTGTGTGAGGGTTTGTCTTGAAGCAGTAGGCATGAGTGAGGTTACTCAGACCTGACACACTGACTCGTCCTACAATTGAATTAAAGTCACGATTGACAGAAATGATCTCGTCCCTGTGAGAATCAAGTGTTAAGATGATCAGTGTGTCGCGTCGTCCCCAAGCAGCCCGAATCGTCTTTTTGTACAATTAAAAACTTCTTTGCACTCCACTCCTCGAGAGCCTGTGTAAATATGATCTGTCTGAGTGATGTTTAACCAGTCGGCTGCATTAAAAGCTTCCACAGTCCATGTACATTGGACTGATTATATTGAGTGTTTCTCTCTCATTTCCTTTGCAGAAGATTAAAACCAACACTGGGCTGTAATACTAACAAGAAAGAAAAAAAATCAACTGAACTGTTACAGTTACATATGCAGGCAAACCACAGTGGGTTTTTGATGTACTCACTGGAAAGTAATTCACACGTTGCTGGTACAGATGAATACTAATCACAGCAGAGGGCACACGGGAAACTAGCTCATCTGTGAAATTCCTCCTTCCTGTTGCAGTTTAGTACCTTTTTCATCTCATTTGAGCTGTGACAGTGAAGGCCCATGATGCTCTGAGAACGCGACTTGTTTTGTACCATGTGATGTAGACGAGGTCAAAGCCACAAACATGACGATGAAGGAGGTGTTGATGCTGAAGGTGTTGATCAGTGCATCAGTCAGCACCTGCTCCACTCCTGAAATAATTAGTGCCAATCATGTTGGTTTACATTTAATTGAAGGAATTAAAGTTATAGTTTGACATTTGGGTAAATATGATTTTTTCTGTCTCAAAAGGAAGACAGACGTGGTGAGTGATATATTAACAGTACAAAGTTTAACATCCTGTTAACTGAAGTGTAAAAAACAATTCACTGATAAAAAGATAATTGTCAGACAAGTTCTACTACAACCATTAAGAGACAGATGCACCATATTCGTAAATTAGAAAAAACTTAGCCTATGGTTATACTTTAATTAGTTGAAACATACTCATGACTAAATTAGCAACACACATTAGTTACCCAATGGGTCCAACTGCATTCATCTTTTAACTTTTCTTTATTTACATCTGTACACACACAGAAAGAGAGAGACAGAGATATTTGGCTCCCTTTAGCATCTGTATTTTTGTATTAGCTGAAGTTGATATCTACTACCCATAAGGCCATGCACTTCTTGTTTTCTGGCATTATACAGTGTTTTTTTTTTTACTCAAGTAACAGTTGTCGTTTCTTTATAAAAGGGCTTAAAGGTCAAGAGGAAAGAATAGAGCATTTATTGAACAAAGCATTTTCCTTAAGTATTTACATCTAATTTCAATTCAAGCTATATGCACTTAGATCTACACAGCTGGAGGCACACCTGAGCACGGGAGGCATTACATTTCATTACAGGCATTAGCTTCATCACAATTACAAACTTTGGCAGCATAGAGATTTTAGAAGCAGACTAATTAATCAAGCAGCAGGCATGTAGTTCACATCCTGCACGTTGATGTGGGGTGATTGCCTAATGTGGTTTCAATGTCAAATCCTTTCTCAGTGTAAAGTCCAGGTGGGGTTTTAATGTATTCTGCACACTGACGTGAAAGCAAGAATAACTTTATACGTCAGATTATCTGGATTGTGTCCGAGGTAAGATTCTAAAAATATAAACAAGTACAGTGCACAATACACTACTGCATTGGTTAGGTATATAACATGTCTGTGAAATTGTGACTTTAAAAATTAGATACACACCAGCACACAGCTCAAGAGTCTTTGTAGTAGTTGTTGAAGTTGATGCGAAGGAGGAAGTCCTCGAGATGAGGCTGGTAGCCTCGGTTAACCAACTTGGTCACCACTGAGGAAAAGAGACTTTTGTTAAATTCCCACAAAACACATTAGTACAGCGAAAAAAAAACCAATGGTGCCTTATTCAACTTATTCAAAACCAGTGCAAAAGTTATCTGATAATAACATAATAGCATGTAATATAAATGATCACAGCAAAGAGGAAGGGCTTTAAACATAAGTAGTTGTCATCAACGTTTAGTTATCAGCCGTTTTGTTTACAGCACATCGACACCAGTGTCTCTTTATCCTGAGATATTCGTGTTTTTATTATTATTTTGCAGCTGCACGTTCGAAATGTCATCAACATGCCCACTGGCTGCAGAGAATCTCCCTCCAGATCATTTCAGGACATTATACAGAGCTCATGTCTGAAAGAAGCTATAGAGACAAGTTTTTTCATTTCAGTTTAAAATACATCAAAAATGAAACAACACAATCTGTCTCATTGTTTCTGACATGTGACTGATTAAAGTCCACAGAAACTTCTTCAAATTGTAGTCTGTTTTTTTCCTTACTTTTAATATGCCTTTCTCAAGTTATGAGGTTTAATCTATTGTTAATAAAACTGCCCAATGAAAATAGAGTTCAGCCGAAGGGATCAGAAGTGCAGAATTTAAATGTGGTTCAATGCAAATAAAACAGATGAAATTCTCATTAAATTAGATGTGAAAGAATATTCTGTGTCCTCACCTTTGAAAAGGAAGTGAGAGTAATACTTGAAGGTGTTGTATGACTGCTGCATGGCGATGAAGCTGGGGTGCACAGCCTCGCCGTGCTGGCTGTCCCACGGCTGTGCGATCAGCTGGGCCCGGAACTTGAGGATCAGGCTGAAGATGCTGTGGATGATGTTCATGACCGGAGCCGCTTTCTCCGTCAGCAAACCCCTGGGGAGGCGAGAGAGTGCAAAGTTTAGGAAACACGACAAGGAACTTTGAAATGACTTTTCAAGACGTCCTGAAATTACACGCAGGAAAGTGTGATAGTGACAAGCTCACCTAATGAGATGAAATCATTCAGCATTCGGCTCAAAAGTCCCACTGGAATTTTAATTAACTTGTTAAGAGGAGTTTGAATCAATTTTATATGAAATTATGGCTGCAGAGTGCACAGCTTCAACTCGCTGCTCATGTGCGGAGCCTGACGAAATTATTTCACTCCCCAGCATCTTTCAGCATTTTGTGCTGCAGCCTAAAACCCTAAAAAGTTTGAGTGTCATTGGAAAAGTTCTACAGATTCAATGATCCATGTTTTTCTGTTCTGATTCGATTCTGAGACATGAATTTGAATATCTGCAGCGAAGGAAGCTTTTTCTTCATTATGATTATTATTATTATTGGTAGTGTTATGTGTAAAGTTACAAGAGGCTGTAGTAAATACTTTGAAATTAAAAATACAAAACATTTTCAGTTTTGGACAGTTGATAGGACGAAACAATTTGATGATAAATGTTTATGATCTTTTCTAGACCAGTGTGCAACATCTGGGTCTTTTTTATGTGTGAGAACCTTCTTTAAACAAACATACATATATATATATATACTCTAACGCAAGATTAGCTGATGTTTAATCTCTGTAAAGTCTCTTAAAACAGTGAAATTCAAAACATTTGATCATATTTTTATAAATCATTTTGAAAAAGTGAGGGAATTGTGTGTAGATGTATAAATAAGTCACATGTAGTTTAAATCAGGGAGCAAATTCTATCAAGAGGATCCAAAAACCAAAAAGAAGTGATGAGTGTGATGTGACATCCTAACTGAGGCCGGTGCTTTTTCAATCATTGACAGGTGCTGAGTTTGTTGTGTACAGTGTGTACACTTAAGGTGTTTACTCTCTCAAGGGGCGCACAGTCTAACAGCTGATAAAATACATGAATGTGTAATCATTCAAAATGATAAGTTAGAAAATGTATTGAATTCAAAGGGAGACAAGGACATCTATTTTTGTTTCAAATTGTCTTCTTCTACGGAGCAATAAATCATATTTGGCCAGAAATGACAGACTGCCTTATATTGTAATAAATATTGTAATATGGACACGTGTAGTCCCAGCCCTCACCTGAAGATGGCTCTGTTAAGGTAGTCTGCGTGTGTGCGGTGGATGGCATCCAGGTCGCTGGCAGTGGCCAGCTTGGCTGTGAACTCGCTCCACGACACTTGCAGGATCTGGTTGGCGATATATCCCTGTATCACCTTGACGAAATGCTGCATCTCATGTCTGTAGAGCTGCAGCTGATGAAACTGCACCGAGCGACCCGCACCCTTCACCAGCGCTGACAGGAACAAGGACGGAGAACAAGTCAGGAGCGGCTCTCAGAGGACAGAGGATAACGAACATATGCTGGTGTCTGAATCTTAAGTTTGATCATTCATTACTTTCCTGTGTCATATAACAGTAAATACAATGTCTTGAGGATCATCGCTCAAAAGAGATAATTTGTGCTCTCATTGTGCTCTTGTAACATGCATTTAGTATTTACTGGATTGTTATTTTATTAAAATGCTCTGTTACATGCAACATTTATTGCACTTCTTTCTGCCCTGGGAGAGGGATCCCTCACTTGTGACTCTCTCTGGGGTTACTACATTTTTCTTTTCTCCACTTAAAAGTTTTCCTTCGTACTTTTCCTCGCTTGTTGAGGGTTCAGAGCAGAGGATGTTGCACCGTTTTAAGCCCTATGAGACAAATTGTGATTGTGAATATGGGCGGTACAAATAGACAAAGCTTATTTCATTTATCATGGAGTTTTGTCTAAGTGTGGTCATATCAATCCTGGTTATAGTCAAAAAATGCCTTTCCATCAAGTATTAAGTATCAGCCACATTTACTCCCTGAAAGCTGATGTTACAATCACTGAAGTTCACATCCTTCTTATAGTTGAATGTTTTTTCCCCAGGAGGAAATGTATTTATGGAGTCTGTACACAGGCTTTTGCTGATCAATACGATGTAACCCACTGAAGCACAGCTGTACGACAATCCCACTGCTATGAGATGTGCCTTGTATAAATAAAACATAAAGGAATCTCAACATTCCCCTCTATGAATATTTCATAAATGGTTGAAGCGCAACAGGAGGAATCTAAACTCTTCATCCTCAGAGGTCCAGAGTCTGAGCTGAGCCTGGATCTACTGCTCCCATCCCCTCACCTGTTCTCTTCAGGTGGAACCAGACATCGCGGAGGCTCCACACCATGTGTTTGAGCTGCAGCAGGAACGAGAACAGGCGGTTGTACTTGTTCATGCAGCTGTCTGTGATGATGATGTTCAACGGCCAGTCCACCTGGGAGACGACAGGAAGGGAAAGAGAGAGACGACGACGCCAAAGCAAGAGAGAGAAAAATTAAGTGAAGGTGTGAGAGCAATTGAGTGTGAAAGAAGGCATAGAGAAACAAGGGTGTTTGGGGGGGGAGATGAGGTGATGGGTGGTGTGAAAGCGGAGAAGTTGATATAGGAGGTGAGAGGATTGTGAAGGTAAGACGGAGTGGTGAGATGGGGGTAAAAGCGAAGAGGAAAGGAGGGAAAAGGACATATGGGGAGAGAAAGAAAGGAACAAAACATATGAAGCAAGATATAAATGGAAGAAAGAGTGAAGAAGAGAAGAAGGAGATGCAGTGGGTAAAGAACAGTGAGAGAGTGGAGGGTGACCAACATAGGTGGGAACAAGGACAATATGTGCAGCATTAGCCACTTTGTCATCCAAGGAACCCAACTACAATTAATCGGCGAGGTTAAACCATTTAAGAGCATGATACGCTAATTGTCCGTACCCGTAGCAGTTAGCCAAAAGGAGACAGGTTGTCACATTCAATCTGCTGCTCATGCTGAAACAAGCACACACATGCAAGCATGCGCACACTCTTACTCACTGTAAAACACACACAACCTCACCTTGTAGCGTAGCTCCAGGCAGTTGAGGGAGTCAGGGGCGTGCGGGTGAAAGGTCTCCGGGAAGAAGCGAAGGGCGAAGGTGAAGTTGGCGGCCAAGGGGGTGTCCCCGTGCAAGCTGTACTGCAGGGCCTTACTGAGGATGGAGTTCAGGACCAAGGGGGTCAGCAGTTCACCGGGAGTCTGCCCATTGCCCAGCTGTGGTGGGGGTGGGGGAGATGTCAGTTAGATAAACACATTGAGTCAAGCAAGGAAAACTACCTATACCTGCACACCCGTCGTTTCCAATGTGCCAGCAGTGCATTAAAGTTGGCAGGTTTTCATGCAAACAAACACCACAGGTTGCTGATTGCGATGATTAATTCCCTTTTTCCGACTAACAGTGTACTGATCGGTGAAATCAGCTGCTGAAGTCGTTGGCTGGGAGAAAAAGCCTTCTGTTCCCTGGGCCTCCAGAGACAGATGTACATGAATGTTTCTGCAGAATGGCACCAAGGTGGAGAAAAAAACTGCACTTGTTATTTCATGCCAGGAAGCTTGGCCTTGACAAGTCGTCTAGAAATCTGGCAGCGACGCACCGTGTGCCGCAAAACAGAAAAACAGAAAACAGACAAACGAAAAGCTTCAAAGAGACGATGCAGACCCTGCACATTGTGTTTACCCCGGTCAGGCACTGGTAGCTTTTTACATTGTAACATAATGTGTGCCATTTCAATACATTGTTTTCTTCAATATGATCTGAATAAACTGTAGATTGTGTCTTTTATCTTATTAGCATTACTGCATTATAGGTTGTTTTCACACTTCTTTGTTTTGTCGACACACATGAAAAAATAACAAATACAATAACTATTAACAAGTTTCGGCATCACTAAGGCTTAAATGTGCAATATTTGAGTTTTCAGCCACTTGGGGCAGCACAACAAGCTGTAAACACTATTGCACTATGCTTAATGTCTTATATATACATCGGGAAGATACTGGTCAACATAAACATTAATTTGAGTTTATTCATTTACATCCACCCAACAAGAGTATGTCCAGCATTCACTCTCCTTTTTGCTCTGTTTTGGTTTCCAGCAACAACATCTTTTTAGAACATAGCACAAGATGGTGAATATCCCTCGTATGTTTGATGGTGTTTAAGTTGCCAAAGTGTTGGCAGGTGTTTCTTTCTTGTCTTTGTTCAAGAGATTTGGGTTTTTCATTTTGAGAAAAACTATTTCTTCATTTCAAGTTCAGGTATTGTAATCCTATTCCTCAAAACCCTTCCCTTGCTCTCAGATTGCCCCTGCTCATGTGCAAATTTGTTTAGCTCCTGCTCAAAGCTGTTTGTCTGCACTGTGACATTTCGCTGGTTTTGAGAGCTTTTCCCCAGAAAACAGCTGCAGCGGGAAAAAAACACTAACACCAGGAGAGAAACTGAACTAAAACAGTAAAGTTGCAGGTGGCAAAACGAAAACCCTGCGACGAAATGCAATTAGCTGAAATGTTACTTCGTGCTGAGAACTGCAGAGTCAGGGGAGTTAACTGTGGTTTTCGTAAGTGACACTTTTCCGTCATTATTAGTCATCCTTAATATGAACATACCTTTTAAAGCAGCTCCAAGAACGGTCTTTTTTTAAAAAGTAATTCCAGTATAATCAAAATACTCATGGGCTCTAGGATCCAGGAAATGACTCTGGTTGTGTGACTTGCTTTTGAGAACTGTTTGTTTTTGTTGTGTGTATGTCCGCAGATGTGTTTCACAGGCTCAAAGTGCAAAACACTAAACAGATACTGTGCTGATCACGTAAAAAGACAAAATGTGTATTCAAAAGGAAACAAGTACATTTGACATGTATTGTCCTCTCTTGTAATGCAATAAACTGAAGAGAAATACCACTTGTCACCCTATTCTGAATATACAACAATGACACATCTGAGAACGCATCACCTTTTCAAAGAGCCGATCACTGAGGGACTGGGCAAACTCGCCGTCCTCCATCAGCAGGAAATGGCGCAGTGCTTCAAAGTGTCTTTCCACTCCCAACTCCACAAAGAAGTAGTCCACCACTGCCTTGTTCACCAAAGACACACTGGAGATGGAAGGTGGAGGAGAGAACACCAAAGATATGGAGAATGATTAGAAAGGAAAATGATGCTGACTTGCACATTTGATACAGGTCGTCGGAAAGATAGACATCAGCTTTGTAGGAAGCTCAGGGAATATAATGGTGTGTGTTTTTTTACTTTTAAGATGACCTCCTCTGTCAAATTACTTTAAATTATTCCTGAGCAATTTACATTTCTTTAAGAGTGGGATTTAGGGAATGTTCTCTTTCACTGAACAGTCAGCAGGGAAGAGATAAAAAATAGAGTTGGAAATCGAATGCAAGATTCCCCCGTGTCATCTAAGCATAGGATAAAAATGTCTTAATAAAAATTTTGAGTTATGAATTCCAATGCTAAATATACTGCACGCTCTTTGTGTGCAGAACAGGATGAGAAAGGCTTTTTTTTTTTTTTTTTTTTTAAACACACAAAGGCTAAACTGCACAGTTTGCAGAAACATTATGGGGAAGGACTGACAAGCTTGTCTGGAGTTCTGATGGAATTTCAAACAGAAAAAGGATCGTACAGTGATGGGATGTAATAAGAATTTAAATTATTCCTGCAGTAAAGAATGTGCACTAAGCTATAGTGTTAGTTAGGTTCTGTGTAAAATCTATAAAACAAAGGTCGGTGGGGGGGTGGGGCATATCCATCAAGCCTGCAGTGGAGGTAGCCACAGAGCCAAACCGATGTATGTGGAAAAAGGAGAGCATGTATTGCCCGACAGATGCTGACGCTGTTGTGTTACACGCCATGCCTGATTCCAGAATGTCGGCATGCTATCTAAAAAATAAATAATTCACACACTGGGGCGGTAGGATGCTGGCTCTGTCTTATACAGAGTAAGTAGGTAAAGCTGGCGTAATGGAGGGTCTTCTGAACAGGAATAAAGCAGGTTCTTGTTGTAAAAGGAAAAAAACTTTAAAATGATTATTCTTTAATGTCTCTGACACATTACAGAGCATCTCCTCCTGCAGCTTTCTTTCAGTCAGACTCACTGTGTGATGAGTGGCGTGGTGACAGAGTGTTTTATCAGAACCGGCAGGGACACCATCTCGCTGAGTTGGACTGCAGTGGTGTCTGTAGCTCCACGGAGTGTGGGTTCCACAGGAAGGCCCCAGGGGCCCCGAGTTACCTGCTTCAGCAGCTGACACTCGGGTGATGAAGCTGTGTGAGAGCGAGATGAAAGATATGTTGCTGAATAAATACGACCCTCACAACTGCAGAAAACTGTGATGGTTTAAGTCCAGAAAAAACGAAAAGTATGTATTGTTAAATAAAAACATTTTTTCATTTTTAATTAAGAAACCATGATAACCATTTAAAATTAATAATATTTTTGCCAGAAGTGATGGTGAAAATCAGATGTTTGCAACATTTATTAGTTGACTATACTAAACTTTAACCTTATCCATCTTTGGTTAGCCATTTTCTAATGTGAACATTTTTTGCATTTTTACATCTGTCAGTATTTAGTCTTTTATGTGTGAGAATGAATTGTGTTACCGTCCACTTGCCTTCGATTCTCCCTTCGGAGATGAATAAGGTATTTTGAATTGAATTGAATACTGCAACTATTAATTGATGAATAATTTGATTTTGTGATCTTCTGTGACATTACACACAATATTTAAAGCTTTTGACTGTGGGTCAGACTTTAGGATACCAGAATTACAAAATATATTTTATCTGTAGATTTGTGAACTATTTAAAAACTAGAAAAATGATCAACCAATTCATTTTAAATTAACTTACATGTCAGTTACAACCATACATGTAAGGCCTTAAAATGACCTGAGATTTGAATCAAGACAGTATAAAAAATGTGCAATGGATAATATTTAATACAAGCTGATTTAATTTAATAGCATTAGCATATACACAAGTTATTACAGTTATTTTGACAAACCTCTTTTATATTTATAGCAATGCTCCCTAAATAATTAGAGCTCTGACTTTGATCAGTGGTGTGGAAGACGTATTTTGCTAAGTTGATTCTGATTGATTTCACAGAGACCTCGGAAGCCAGCATGAATAATAGCAGCATGACTGAACTACGAATGCAGAGTGAAAAAGACAGAAGATCACTGCAACCAACCATGATGCATTCAAACATAAGCCAGAGTTAATACCTGTATGAAATATTGCTGCTTTTAATGCGTCCCCTGTGCCTGTTGATGAAGTCAGTGTTTACCAGCCTCTGGAAAGGCACCAGGCCTGAACATGTAAATGAGCTGCACCACTGTGGAGATGAATCCTTTTTATTTCTCTACAATGTGATCTTATGTTTTGCTGTTTTTCAGAAGATAATTTCTCATTGACTTACAATATTTCAGCCTGATCACATAGATGTTTTTCAAAGAATTCTTTAATAGGATCAGGGCTCATCTTTATTTTTTTAAAACCTGACATTAGCTACAGCTATTTTCATTGCCACAAGAATGTGTTCTGTGAAACTGAAATAAAGCTTTAAATAAGCGTTTATGCAAATGCCATTCTAGTTTTAGTTTGGGATGCTGTTGACCATTGAACATAGATGCTCTTCTGTTCTCTGTTCAATGGCTCCACTCTGTTAATAATTTGTAGCTACATTGCCAAATGACACCAAATCTATTTACAGATAAGATGCAAATAAATCCCACATTTTTCTCAGTCTGGCTGACACTCAGCATGGTTGTCTGTTTTTTTCAGTTTGACTAAGGCACACCACACAGTCATTTCGGACATCAGACTTCTGAGGTTTATGATTAAGAAAACTAATATTTACAGTGTTATTATGTTACGTTAGTATGAAAGGAAATAATATGTTCACTCCTTTCAAGCTACACTAAAATCATGGCTGTAAAGTACAAGTTCCCCTACTCCCCTGTATATACTGTAAGGAACTATTCATCTCGAGCCACACATATTATTCAACTCACCCATTAGGTTATAGCAGTCTTCATAGAGGTCCACCTGGTACTGAGCAGACAGAGCTAAGAGGTATTCCTGCTCAGACTGTTCTCTTGGGGACAAACCAAAGCCTGCTGCCCAGGACCCCATGCCCTCCACCAGCTGCTCACCATGACTCTCCAGCCTAAGACCTAAAGAGAGCGAGCGACAGAGACACACAGGGTCACAGCAGAAAAGTTACAATATCTTTCCCAAGTCTTAAATTCTTTTGGTTTTTCATAACTTTTAAAGCAGAGGCAGTTGAAACAAATTTCAGTGGTGCAACAACATGCTGATTATATGCAAATATCTAGAGCTGGAACAATTAGCTGATAGATCAATTAGACCATGAATGGAAAATTAATTGGTTACTATTTTGGTAGTTAATGAAGTCATGAGGCACAATCATTAACAATAATCTGATATACGTTTCTATAAACATGATGATTTTACATAATTATAAACTAAATATCTGCAAGTTTTTGAATTAAAACTTTTATTCTTTGCCTATTGACGTTTTCTATTTTAATGATTTATTGATTAATCAGGTAATAATCACCAGATTTACAGACAAAGAAAATAAGTGTTAGTTTAAGCTGCTTAAACTTAGATACACAGATAAACATATACATTTGCATTAAGAGGTAACATCATTATATGATCATGGTTTTACTAAGCATAACTTCAGTTAACCTTAAGAGTGCAAAATGTGCTGGGTATCACTTTTTATTTGTCACTTTCTTTATTTTCATTATACAATACCTTCACTTCCTTCATTGTCCTCTGTTTTCTGCTGATTGCTCTTCACCACACATCCAACACTAAGTGAAGAATCTGAAGAGTGGCCATAAACACTGCCTGGTAGTGCAGAGGGTTGCGGCTGAGTCCCCAGCACCGTACAACCTACACCCAGCGACGAATCAGAGGAGTGGCCGTAAGCGCTGCCCGGCAGTGGCGATGGTACAGCTCCAGCTTTGGACACAACACATCCAACACCTAGATTGGAGTCTGAGGAATGACCGTAAGCGCTGCCCGGCAGTGGAGGACATTTTGGTTCATCTCCAGAAACTACACATCCAACACCTAACGTTGAGTCTGAGGAGTGACCATAAGAGCTGCCGGGTAAGGGGGACATGGTAGGTTTAGCTCCTGACACCTGACAGCCTGGCTGAAGCGTGCAGTCCGTGATGTGCCCGTGCTTACTCAAACGAGGTATTGCTTCAGATACATTGGACACAAACTCGCCCACTTTTATGTTTGCATCAGAAGAGTGACCGTGGATACTGGCAGTAGGGAGTAGTGCAACAACTTCAGAAACATTCTCCCCAACTTTGATATGAGCGTCTGAGCTGTGACCATGAACATTAGGGGTGGGCAGAGGGGAACCTACGTTAGAAACAAACTCCCCAATTTTGATGTGGGAATCTGAGGCATGACCATGGACGTTGGGAGTAGGAAAAAGAGCTTCAAATTCTGAGACATTATCCCCGACTTTAATGTGAGCATCAGAAGAGTGACCATGGACGCTGGGGGAAGGTAGAGGAGCATCGACATCTGAAACATGTCCTCGAATCTTGATGTGGGAATCTGAGGCATGGCCGTGGATGTTAGGAGACGAATGAGGCGCAGTGACCTCAGATACAAACTGTCCAACCTTTATGTTAGCGTCAGAGGAGTGTCCATGAATGCTGGGTGATGGTTGGGGGGGAACAACATCTGTAGGCAGCTCTCTGGAGACGTGAGTGTGAACATTTGGCAAAGAAATGTTTTCATCGGCTTTGTTTTGAACATCTGAGATGTGGCCCTGAGTGTTTTTCTCAAGTGATTTCCCCCCACCACAGTCAGAAACACTTGTCACAACTTTGTGGTCACCATCGTCTTGCCCTGGTGAGGTGAAGGAGGCAGTAATAATTACATTATCTTCTTTTGTAGGCTCAATAGTTTTAAGTTCATCTTTTTCATCTGCTTTGCTTTCTAAAATCTCCATTTCAGTGTCCTGTTCTGGGGTAAGTGCAACTTCATCTTGCTTGTCATCTGTGGCTGTACCAGTCCCATCTATTTGCTCTGCTGTGGCTTGAGAGGGATATCCATAAACACAGGCTTTAGATGTATTTTGAAGCTCCTCTGGGGTATACTGGCCTAGAGGAAAGCTAGATTTGGAAGCTTGACCGAAGGGGCTGGCTTTGGGGACATTCTCCTGGACTTGAGACATATTCTCTCCTATGGGGATGTGAGAAAAAGATGGATGGTTTTGAAACAAGTCAGGCTGGACTGCAGGTCCCCAGCGAGGCCGGGGCTGAACTGAGGCTTGGCCAGCGATACCCTCGAGTGGACTAAAGGGGGCACTGAAGTCATAGTCAACTAGTTGTGCTGTTGGGCACACTTCAGGTAGGTCAGAGCCGATCTCCTGTAGGGCCATGTCCACTTGCTGACTTTCAGGATTTGGTGATTTGGGGAGGAAATCCTCGATATCGATCGCTTCAGAGATGAGGGCATGGTCTGCTGTGAGGCGGGTGATGGGTGGTGAAGATGGTTCAGGTGGGGGTGATGGTACAGCGTCAGATTCTTGGGTCCCACCACTCTCCTGCTCTGACAGGCTCTGAGAGAAAGATACGCATTAAGATAATATATTAACATGAGGATGAGAATAGGAAATACTTGAGAAAAGAGGAAAAATAGGAGTTAATGTTCAAGAGACAATGTGTTGTTATACCAGTTGTTGTTCAGTCTGTTCTGTTGAGGAAACAGGAGGCAAAACGTCTGCAGGAGGTCTCTCCTGTCCTAGAGGATATTTTGCTACTAATGCCTGGAAGTCACAAGAGCTTTGGTTAAAACCACCTCACTTACTCTTTAGTCATTTTCCTGTTTGTGTTCTCTTACGATAATTTATCACAAACCTCAATGTGCTCTCTGTCGTGAATAAAGAACTGAGCTCGTGCTTCATCAAGTCTCATTCGCTGCACCCTCCACAAGGCTCGTCTCTCTCTGCAGGCGGCTTCCTCTGAAAGACGACTGTACTGAGCAATCAGCTCCTTCCTGTTATTCGGCAGACACACAAGAAAGACACAAACACACAAAGTAAAACTTTATACTTTCGAAGCAACTCACTGTGTATACATGTCTCGGAAATGGGACAAATGGCTATTGAGCATCAAATGAGCAGTTCTTCATAAATGGGATTGTCCCCCTTGTTCTCCCTGTTAGGTCATTCAGCCATGAGGTAGCTTTGCTCTTGTTGGGGTCATATTAGTACTTAGATAAAGACAGCAAAAAATGTATGTCCATTCATCAACGTTAAATTTTTCTTCCTGAACACAAATGATCATATTACATTTTTGCCACAAGTATGATTGTTCACAATATCCTATGAATTGCATGTATTATTTGAAGACTGAATCATTTACTTTTAAAACTGAGAGAACATAAAGTAACTGTTTACTTTCATTTTATTTACCTATTTATTTATTTACCATCTTTCCATTGCATTGATTTCTGTCGTATACTCTGTACGGATCAGAAAGTGAGGGAGGGAGATGTACCTGCTGTGTTTTTGTTTACCCCATTTTCTGGGTTGGTATGTCCTGTCTTCAATAAAACAAGATTGAAAAATACAAATTGGAGTAAATCATGTGTTCCCTACTTGTGCTGATTTATTTCACTGTGTGAATATGTGCTCTCAGGGTCTGTGATGGCTCAGAATTCTGCTTTGAGCAACTCCTTATACATAATTAACCAGCAAAAGTCTGTCAAAAATTAAATCTACCTATTTCCTTGACAAAAGCTTTATATTACACCAAACACTGGATTTTGAGTCTTTACTTGTGGAGTTGTGGTAACTGGCTGTACAAAAAGCTGAAAAAAAGATAACAGGTTTTTGTTCTGCAGCGTCACAGTTATCCCGACAGTGTGGAAATTTCAAACAGGTCCAGCCAATGAAATATCCCACAAAGATAGAAACTGTGTCTCATCGAGTTTGCACATAGTTAATAGACTCTAGATCAAATAAAATCTTAATAGAGATTAATCAATCATCCATAATGCATTAACATCTCTAGTCGAGGTTGTAAAAGACCTGGCTCTCTGTTCCAGTTGCTCTTCCAGGGCTTGTATTCTCTTCTCTCTGTCCCTCAGCTCTCTGGCAAAGCTGAAATCATCCTCCTCCTGCTTCGTCTTGGCTGTACTCCGCCACTGGTGCCAAACACAAACAAACAAATAAAAACTCCTTCTGAAAACAAGGCCACAAGTGCTGTAGCTGCATTTTATCAATCCAAATTTTTTGTTCACATTGTTTACTTCTCCAGATATTTCACTCTTATAGCAACAGGCTAGTAAACACATGCACAGCACAAACTTTTAAGACACACTTTCCTACCTCTTGCTCCTGCTCCAGATGCTGTTTAAGCTCTTCAAAACGCTCCCTCTTCTTGGCCTCTACAGCCAGACGTTGTGACACCTGACGTCCTACATGAGGAAAGAAAATGACAGTGGGCACCCACCTTACTAAACCTTGTATTAAACTTTTGAAGGAGTTTCCTCACCCATTTCCCCTCAAAGGATCAAAGACTGCAAAATTTGAGTCATGGATCAAGGATAATTAAACAAAAAAAAAAGAAGCTAGCAGGATTTATAGAGGCTCTCAGACAACAATTAAAAAGAATGTTGAATGTATGAACATTTCTCAGTTGCTAAACATCTTCTGATGAAGTGAGGAGATTGCGAAATTGTGCAAGCACTGATTCGATTCTGTAGAACTGGAAGCCGCTCAAAGCTTTCCTCACTTCAGTTGCTCCGGTGCATCTCTTCTGATTTCCTGAGAGGAATGAATGAAGTTGAAGAAAGCCTGTGGTCAAAAGTCAACAAGCAAATGTGATTTATGCTACATTTGTGAAAGGTATCCTCAGTGGGGTGGGAGTACATCAAAAGTGTGTGTGTGTGTGTGTGTGTGTGTGTGTGTGTGTGTGTGTAACACTAACCACGGATGCTTTCCAGAGTTTTGGCTGTTGACGCTCTGACCTGATTGATCAACTCTTGGCGTGCCTGCTCTGTACGCAGGGCCTAATAATTGACAGACAAGAAATCATCATTAACAAAGATACATCCACCTGCCCTGCGGCTCACCTCTTCTACTCCACCTCTGCCAGTGTGCACGGCGAGCAGCACTCACTCTACGGGCTATACAAACCAGACTCTTACATTAAATCATGCAGTGTGCAAGCCCCAGACTTCAGCTGAATCATTTTAATGACTTGCTGCTGAAATCCTTGGTGCTTGAGGGGTAATGTCACAATCATGAATCATGTTATGTAAAAAAAGGAACTCCTTTCTCTCTCTCTATCGTCAATAATACCTGTGTAAGACTTGTCTTACTGCAGGTTTGCCTTTCCTCCCTGAAGTCCCTTGATTTTCAGAAATCTAATAAAGTCAGCTAACAGACACATAATAGTATCTATATTAGGTAATACACCATGTTGGTTGCCATCTCTACAAACATTAACTGCATATGAAACCAATTATTGTATCTGTACGGATGCTATTTGTTGACATTAACTCTGCATTTAAAACCATCCAACCCAAAAGACTGGCCACCAAACTAAACAACTTTGGCCTCAACACCCACCTGTGCAACTTTGTTCTGGACTTGCTTACTGGCACATGGATAAGCATCTCTCATCCCCCACAATACTGAACACTGAAGCACCACAGGGCTGTGTGCCGAGCCCCCCTCCTGTTTTCCCTCTTCACACACTTCAAACCACTGATGATTCTAACATCATATAATTAAGTTTGCTGATGACACCATCATGATAGGCAGAATCACCTGATATATTGAGTTCAAAGCAATGGCCTTTTGAACACCAAAATGTAATCAATCTATCTTTGAGTCAAAGTGAATGCTTGTAAAATTTATGATCATATCTCATTAAAGAAAAAAATAAACATACTTTGTGAGGCCACCGTGACTTTGGCCTTTGGCTACCAAAACAAGCGAGTTAATCCCTGACTCCAAGTGAATGTTTCATGTGTTTGTCTTATGATTTTATCCAAAATCTTTTCAAACAACAACAATATTAACATAAGCTCAACATGCAGAGGTAGAAAAATAGTAAAACACATGACAGCTTGCATGGAAGAATGTGTCTCAGTACCTGCTCTTCCCTGCTGACGGCGCTATGCTTGGCAATCCTCTCCATACGTCCGCGGTACACAGCACAGTCCCTCTCGATATCCTCCACCTCCTGAAGGGAGAAGGTGACAGCAATGCGAGGCACCGGCAGCTCCGACCAGCAGATGTAGTGCTGTGGACACAAAGTAAAAAACGTTGGTATAAAGTATGAAAGAGCCTCAGTGATTTACAGAGATGTAGTATGTGAACAGTTTTTTAGTGTTAAATGTTCATAAAATATGATGAAATTACAAAGAAGAGACAAACGTGTTTCAGCTAATAACAAGAAAACAATTGTAATCCTATAGTTGCGAGTTAAATAATCTATTAAATATTCATTGTAGTGGTGGAAAAAGTAAGGGAGTCCTTCAATTCAATAAGTGGTCAGAGTTCTTTAAACCTCAAAATTTTGCTCCTGGTTGCTTCACATCTGTTCAGGAGGAATTTTGAATCATTCTTCCCACCGAACCGTTTAATTTAATTTTTATGCCTGTTGTGAATGACTCCACAGCATCTCTCCTGGCTTATGGTCTGGACCACAAGCTTGAACTCATTCTGTAGGTTTGAGTCAATGTTTAGGTGTTTCTTGTTAAGCAGGTCCCGCCCTTTAGACTGACTGTCTAAACATCAAATACTCTAGGTCTGAACATCTACTCTTGGATTTAGCCTTGAGTTTCATGTAGGGACTGTTGTTGTCAGTGGGAGGAAAAAAAACAAGCCTTGAAAAAAGGCAAAATCAATCAGAGCCATTCACCAACACTGGACATAGTCAATAAGGCGAATTGGAAAATTAAAGAAACTACTGGCGTACTGAAGTAAACATCTTTGACTATCTGTGCCTTTACTTTTGCTCATCTAAAAATGTCGATCGGTCTGGTAGAAAAGGTGAAAGGTCTTAAACACATGTAAATAACAGTGAATAAAAGCTGAAATTCTGAAAACTGTTCTCAAATTCATCTTTTGATTTCAAACCAAAATGTCTCCAGTGTACAGGAACTGGACCTGATAATCCAACAGTCTGAGAGGACTGTATCTATGGACATTTCAGATGTTGAGGGCAAAGCAGGCTTACAGGGCCAGGACAGGATTTATATACACACTACCAACTGCTTGACGACACAGGTCCTTGGTTTGAGAGTAAACAAGAGGGAAAAATAAGTTGAAGTTTCTGCAAATTTATAAAGAAAACACTGAAAAGTATTTATGGTAGCATTGGGCATTTAACTATTTCAGGTTTGGATTTTGGCCGGGGCGTCTCCAATTTGACGTAATGTTGACGTGACTCTTAATCAGAATCTGCTCTGTAACATGCAAACATGTCATCATTTAGCAAAGCTATAATGGCAACTGAACCATTGGTAACCATTTTTGTCAAGTAAAATGAATGGTTAATAACATGTTAGCTGTTAAGCTTACAGGATCTTATCAATGTTTGCATAAAATACATAAAACTAAAATGGAAATCTGACAATCCTGCAGCCCAGATCACAGAAAAGAGTAATTACAGTCGACTAGATGGGAAGATAAACAAAGTAAAAGCTTTTTATATATGAGGAAACCTCTTCGCTGATTGTATGACAAAAAATAATATTAACAAAACACACTTTAACCCTGTGTATCATTTATTTATGTTTTATTGTGTATTAAAAAAAGTGAAATACCCTTGAATTAAATATTGTGTTATTGCTATTAAAACTATTTAAAATGATTTTGACCTGTATTAGATTAGTTAAGTGCTCTGTACTTATGCGTTGTTGTTTTGCATGTGGAATAAATATTCAACTTTAGCTGAATAGTTATGTATAAAATATCAGTAGTCTCAGCAAATGGTATTATTATCCAATAGAAAGCACATTAGTGGCCATCTCCTCAATTCACATATTTCATTCCATAATTTCACATGTAGCTATCCTGCTGTGTCTCTCAGAATGACGAACCCCAGTAATCATGGAAATTAGCATAAAGAGAAAGTTGTAGTTATAGAATGGCTTTTTTAATTACTTAGGAGCACAGGCCCTGTGGCTCCGGTCAGGTAGGTCAAGTCATAAAAAACATCATGTGCAGGTGAATCAGCAGGTGATTCACAGTGAAATGAGAAAATTAAACAGGATTAAATTACATAAAAACTTCAACGCTTCACTGAAGCTTTTCATTTGTTAAGTTTACTGCCACTGTGTGAGGGTCCATCTCTATACGATTATAACTAATACACTCATAATTCTTTTTTTAACTACATTTAACTACTCTTTTTGAATGAAAGGGTGACTGACAGTGATACTCAATATATGGTAGTATAATCATACAGGCAATTCTGATCAATGCTACTCATTGAAAGATAATAATCTAGATATGAAACAATAAGTTCATTAAACAATTAGTAAACCAGCAGAAAAATCATAAGCAACTTTTTGATAATTTCATAGCACCAGAGCCATTTTGGCACATGTGACCAAAAGCGCAATCAAAAATGTTCCTTGGTTGCCGTGGTGCCCTGTCTCTGTATATTTTAACGTGTCGCTTCCTCAGCTCATCTCCTCAGTGGATTTTACACTCACACACACATGCCCCGGTCTGGCCACGCCCCCACTCACTCACTCACTCATACAAACAGTGAAGCAGAGATAAGAGATAAGAGGCGGTGAACAAGGTGGTAAATGTCAAACAGTAGCGACAAAAAGTGTGAATACAATGTTTCCATGACTACCCACCAATACAAAAGGAATAGTGCCGCTGCTCCAGGATCAGAGCAGAAGTATTGTGTGCTTCCTCCACAATCCACTTTACACTTTAACAATAAACACCGACACTAATCACAACTTGTTAGGCCCTGAGCAGTACTGAAGTTTACTATACGAGTTTATGAGACACTAAATAAATGTAACAGTGTCTCTTCACACACAACCCGACAGAGACGTGCAGACACACAGACACACACATGGTTGTATGTGGTTTATTTTACTAATGTTCTATGTGGTTGGGGTGACTGTGGCTGAGGGGGTTGAGCAGTTGTCCTCGAACCAGAAGGTTGGTGGTTCCATCCCAGCCTTCCCCATCCGCATGCTTAAGTGTCCTTGGGGAAGATGCTGAACCCCAAATGGCCCCTCATAGATGTTGAATTCACTAATTGGAAGTCGCTTTAGTTAAAAGCGTCAGCTAAATGACATGTCATGTTTTTTTAAATTCTAATTCAAATGTCAGACTGAATATTATTTTTGTAGAATTAAGGTTCATTGCTCTTTGACAGGGTGTACTTGCATGATTATGCTATAATAGTATCATTATATAGTGGTATAGAATGGTTTAAAAATGAAGAAACAATATAATTTATCGGAATCATTTCTGGGGAAAAATATTGTCCAACAAAATGTTATTGAGACAGGCCAACCTTAATATTTGTAAGAGTGCACCATGTTAAAAGTTTCCTTGTTCAGTTTACAGCTTTGGTTCTCTGAGAATTTCTTTCATATCCAGGCAAAATTGGTGTTGTACAATGAAATATCCTGAACTGAATCAATATCAAATTGGAAATCAAATCGAATCGAGACCTTATGAATCACAATTCAATTGATTATGGGAAATCAGTAGCGATACCCAGCCCTAGTTATGAAATTACCAACATATATGGGAACTGTCAAGAAAAGGTATAATAGGTGTATTTTTGCAGTGCCAAAAGGCGCAGTGAAAATCTTTGGGTGCATCTAAATTATGTGCTTGTGCACCTAAATGAAAAAGTTAGGAGCACCGGTCCAATGTCAAAATTCCAAGAATGTTATGATTCTTTTCTTAAATGTTAAAAGATTATTGAACAAATTATAACATTTTATTTAATTAAAAAAAACAACTTCAAATCTTCAGCTACTAACGATGATTATTAGCTGCACTGAAATCATCTGAAACATCTGGATACTGTGTCTCCTCTCACCACCATTTCTCTCAAACACTTTCAACACAACCAGTCAAGCAAAATGGCATTAAACCCTGGAAAACTGATTCCTGTTAAGAGTGTTTTTCTCTCCACTGTTGCCAGGGGCCTGCTCGTTGTGGGAACTGCTTGGTTTCTCTCTATAAAATTGTAAGGTTACTCTGCCTTGACATAAAGTATGTTGTAATTTGAATTGCAATGACTCTCCTGCAAAGAATGACGCACTGCAATATTGAATCAATCTTATTTTCTTGATCAAATTATTATTATATTTGTCTATGAAATAACAATTCTAAATTGCAACAGCTTTACTGGGTAAGTTCCCCCAATAGTTTGTTGATACTTTGTCCCAGTATCTACAATAATACATCAAACAGAGCTGGGTTGCTTTCATGCACCACATGCTTTGAATTGAATGTGTGCTTTTTCAATTGATGCCAGTATGTTTCCGTCAGTTCTATAATTTAGTCGAATCCTTGTATTTTTATGTTTGTTTTGTGTTATCTGTACCTGCTTGTATTTATATATGAAACAGTTTTACTGAATTGCTTCCCATCTTGACCAGGACTCCAGATATTGTTTCTAAGTAGGACCTCCCATATAAAATAAATTAATAAAATAAAAAATGGTGGTCCTAGCTTTTTAAAGGCCAAGGTAGCATCTTCAAATGAACAACAAAGCTCCACATTGACAGAAAGCAGAACAGAGTTCAGAGTTGAAATGTCTGGACATCAATACAACAAACGATTGTATCACAGTAGTCATGAAGGTTCATTGTACATGGATAATGTTTTGCAATAGCCTGTCCATCCTAGTCTCAGTATTGATAATTTGTCCCACCCCTCGCAGGCACTATGGATTTCACAATAGTGTGGAGTACATGTGCATAATATAATATTCAATACGCAAGAAGAAAACACAGCTAATTTAAAGTGAATAAATAAAAAATATAACTAAGGATACATTTGCGTCATCTGCCTGTATGAATGTTCACAACAAACCTGTGGGCAGCAGATCTTCAGGAGGTTGATGGTTTTTCCACAGACGTACACATCATTGGCAATGTGTTTGAGGAAGATGGGAACACAATCCTCCACATCCTTAGAGATCAGAGTGTAGCCTTGGATCCAGAAGTGTTTGTCTGCAGAATTGTAAAGAGGCCTGTTACATGATGTTCTAGAAATTAGACCGAAGCTTTCTGCTGGCCCGTAACGCCTCCGATAACAGTACAACTCTCACACAACTGAGGTACAGAGAGTAATAGTGGTGGCGTAATAGGCAGGAGCCTGCGCTGGGCCTAAAACTTTCCCTTATTAGTATGACTTACGGGCCATGGCAAAACTCTGGCTGCTTGAATTAACACTTGGAAATTGTTAGTGCTTAGCTCAGTGATCCTAAGCAAAAAGCATAAGAGAACATGAATGCACTGAGCTTCCCGAGCTCTTTACAGAAAGCCTGCGGCTTGCCAAGAAAGCTTAGCCGCTGATTGCCTCCCTGGCCGACGGACTTCGAGCAGAACAATGACATTTGTATGTCCTCCAAAAAGCAGGCGCGAGAACTGCAGAGGTTCACTGCAGGAGTTGATGAGGTGTAACCGATGAGCAAATGAACCTCTTAGCCAGACGCAGCCGAGGTGACGGTCTGACCTTGAATGGGGTGTTGCATGACATACAGTATTTGGTCAAGCTGTAATGATTCATATAAAACTATATTTATTGACTACTGTCAAAATGAAGCAATTACTGTGTGTACTTGTTTAGGGAACACAGTTTAAACAAAATTATTCTATACTCACATATTAAAATTCACTAATATGAGGCTGCAGCT